TTTAAAACTTGGTCTTGCGTAACGAATTTGGGTAATCGTTTTTATATGATACACCGTGGATGTCAACCGCTGTGAACATGTTGTGAATGCGTAGAACACGGGAACCGTGCGTAAACTACGCTTCGACAATGACCTGTTAATACAAGTAAAATGCAGTAAATATTTCATGCCATATTCAGTTTACCTCTCAAAAATGGCTAGTTACTAGTATTTTGGAAAAACCATTCCAAAAGATCGTACTTCAACATCAATAATTCACTTCCGCATTGCGTTACCGGAAAGTCTTCGGGAATTTCCGAAGAATTGCGTCAGTACAACACAGCATTCTGATTGGTTAATAACCAACTTAACCCATTAGGTCAAAGGACGCTGCTGCAGGTCAAATCTACAAATGCATCATGGCGGAAAGTGATTTTCATCGAGAGTTTGCGTACGATCCAACACCTTCGTCAGTGGAGATAAAATGACAATTTTGACTTCGACTGTGTTCCAACAGACTCAAATGTTTTAAATTTTGTAAATTCTGGTGGTACGTAATTAATATTGTAATGAAATGTGCATATTTTTTGTGATCATTTCTGTTTCTTCATTGTGAAAATCAATAACGACTTAACTAATTTCGTAATTTGATTTTCCCTCAAAGACGTAATCTGTCACTTGATGAATCAAATTTTTCATTCGCACACTTTTTCGAGGGGATGCTCGAGTAAGCGCCCATCCCTACAAAATCGTGATTTTCTGAGTTGAGGCCCCTGGGCACTAACGCGGGCGAGTACAGTAGTTATCAAATTTAAGATATATAGTTTTGTTTATAGTAATATAGCTGGAATATAAACATGTCAGGAATAAGATTATGATGATTGTTTAGCATTTCAATTATTGCCATTTGTATCTGGAACAGCATTAAAACAAAATCAGCCATTTTGAATACATGTATAATGAATATATAAAATGTGAACATAATCGGTCAAAGCATGTCAGAGATATGGCTCTAGAACAAAATGGCCACTAAATCAGCCATTCTGGATCTGACCTAAAAACTAAAATAACGTGCATCAGGAACCTGTAATGTCTAATGTATGTACCAAGTTTGAACAAAATCCATCCAGAAATGCCAGAAATACTTGATATTTGATGATTTTTAAGCACAAAAATGGCCACCATTTGGCCATTTTTAATAGGATCGTCAAACCAATGTATCTGTTTATCTATGACATGATGTATAATGAATATTTAAAATTTTATGATTTTTTAGCACAAAAATGGCAATCATTCGGCCGTTTTTAATAGGGTCGTCAAACTAATATATATGTATATCTATGACATGATGTATAATGAATATTTAAAATCAGTCACAGCAAGTCAGAGATATGGCACTAGAACCACATTTACTAAAACTAAATGGCAGCCAGTCGGCCATTTTGAATCCTATCTGAAAACAAAAAGATGTGCATCAAGGTCCTATAATGTCCAACGTATGTACCAAGTTTAATTGAACAAAATACATCTATAAACAGCCGAGAAATTCTTGATTTTGATGATTTTTAGAACAAAAATGAATCAGATCATGAAACAAAATAGTGTGCATATGTATAATATCATGTATGATGTATGTGTAAAGTTTGATTGTGATTGGTCCAAGCATTTCTAAAATACAGGTCCGGACGCACGCACGCACGGAAGTTAAAATATAAGACTGGACTGAAAAAGTACTGGATCATGGCATGAATTTAAGAGAATCATTGTACTATATTTAGATAATTTTTATTTTTATTAGTAGTTATTTTTTGTTCGTAGAAATGAGCAAAACATATTGACATTGATGATGTGGTGATGTCACCCACACACACACAATTCCTGTACATACTCATGGTGTACACTCACAATACCACAACAGGCATGAGTTAACTTCTCACCCAGTGTATATGTTAAGCTTCAATTCAATTTGCTAACCACCATAATGTTGTATACACAAGGGCAGTATTTAAATAAATACCAGCAACAGTTGCTGTTCTAAAAGCGTACACATTACCAGCGTAGTAAACAATTGCTATCACTCTTTGATAACTCAAAGCATTGTCTTGTGCTATTAATTTTATGATGACAAGCAGTCAATGCATTATTGCAACACCCAAAATAGAACAATACAACGTATGTTGTGGCAATTGATCTGCATCAAAGCATGGTGGTCATTGCTCATTTCAATTTTGAGTAAACAAACAGTGTAATTTACTCAGTACACGTTTCCGAATATACTACGTTGCAGTGACCACAGTTCTTTAAATGTTTTTACTAGTTTGTACAATTCCAAAATTTCAATTATGTGATGGGTAAATGATTTTCTAAAATTGTTTGTACTGGGGTAACCTTTGACAATGAAAAAAAAGATTGACACACTCTCTATATTGTGAGATATAATTTTGGCAATGAAAATACAATGACTTAATCTCTGTTGTGAGATGTAGCTTTGACAGTGAAAAAGAGAATGACTTACTCTCTGTGTTGTGAGATATAACTTTCCTTTCTTTGAGCCTCTAAAGTGATCCAACATTGGTTTCATATCAAATTCCAATTCCACATCATCTTGGTGCATCAAAATACTGACCAAAGAGAAACAAACCATCATCATCCATTAACATAACATGAATTGCATTTCTGTTATATTCATGTATATTAAGTTGCATTTTACTACAAAGCAGGACTTTAAATATTACCAGGTACATCATCTTTTGAAGTCATCAAGTAATTAAATTTGTGTAGATTATCCTGTGTTTCTTCTATGATTTGTTGGTGCATTAAATTATACATTGTGTATTGAGAGCATATCATAACAAAGTGCAGTTCATCTTCTATTTCCTGCTGTTCACATTGTCTGCAAATTCTATTTTCAGTGGGTCATTTTGGTTGCATATGTCTTCTTTTCTATTGCTAAATTGGGACTACTAGTTCTAAATTATGTCATTGAAATTCTATTGTTTCTAATTCAACACATCCAAGTATTTTTGTTTTGTTTTTTCAGTTATATTTTTTGTTAACAAATCATGATTCTGTGGTTCTAGTGACAAATTCTTGTTGTTCATCATTTTCTGTATTGAAGAAAACCATTGTAGATTGGATTTCTTTTGTTCAAGTTTTGTGATATTATTTCCTGGGCTTTGTATTCTGAAGGAGCCCAATTTCATGACTAAAATATTTGATCATTTAGTTTCTGATACCAAAGCAAATGATATTGAGAATAATGGGAATAAGGGATTATAAGCGGTGACAGAAAGATAATATTTTAAGTGTTTATTATTTTGTTTTCTGACAAATATACCGGTAGTCTTGAATACATTACCAAAATTTTGATAACAACAAAGTACCTTTGGAAAGACAATGGAATATTAAATTTATCATTTTTGTTCACAGCCATCTTCAAATATAGCCTATCAATCTGATTTGATTTGATCATTTCCACCGAGTGTGACAGACAAAATAAGCACATACAGATTTTTTTTATTTAATTTTACTAATAAATCCTCAATGCACAATATTGGAATGTTTAAAATGTTATGGATGCATTTAAATGTCTGCTTTATTCAGAAAATGAGCATCACATCCAAACACTTTTTTTGTATCATTATTTGTTGTTGGTATTTCATTTTTGTTGCTATAAACTATTTATTTCTAAGGAATGCAATAAAATTATTATTATTATTAACACTTTCCTTTGTCAACATCGACAGAGCCATAAAATAATGCATGACTGAATTAGAATAACGTCATTGAACACAAATGATCTGCTAAATTAAAATAACAATAAAACTCAATGTTTCCTTGACAAATTCCTTAAATTAAATCAAAGTGAATATATTCAAAACATCATAACAGTAAAATTATATGTCAGTGAAAGTAAATGGTTTTACAGTAAAAAACGAAAACAAGTCCAAGTTGCTGTCAAGTGAATAAATGCATGTAATCTTCGTCTAAAGGTATTTTGTTTGACAACCCAATGTATAGAAATGTACACTATTGTCATTTTACAAATATGTTTGCACCACGGCGTTAGGGTCCGGCCTGTACACCAACGCTGGCGTGTATACTGACAGACGAAGCACATATCCGAACCCAAAACGCCGCGGAAATACGGCTATATTGTATTGTAGCTCACTATTTTGCTAACAAAGTAGCATTAGTGATATCAGCGTACCAGTAAAAACTGTTACGTCTGAACTATCAATATTACTATTTTGTTTGCAAAACAGTGAACTACACTTCGACACGATAATAACAACATCTGCACTGTAAGTGTGATTGGTGGCAATAATAAACACCTGACTTTGAGTCACGTCACATGATCGATTGCGTTATTCCGTCGCGAGTTCTCAGCGCCTATTACCTAAACAACCACAGTGTATTCTTCGTGCGGTTGCTTAATATTCCTGTCAATTTTGGTGATATACGGTGATTTTAACTTACTTTTCGCCTTGGTACAGGACGACACCATCGCCTTGAGTCGATTGATTCAGCGCCATCTTGGTTCTGTTTAAATCTCACATGACGTCAGTGAAATAGAAATTCTCGCAAATTCTCGTGAACATTGAGACCTGTATTCGTGCCCTTTAAGATACTAAATAAAAGTTTCAAACAAATTAAAAAAAGCAGTCGTCAGGAAAAAAAATCATATTTTTTATTTAAAGCCTTTTCACATGAAAATACCTTTTATGTTTTGTACTCCGTCATACTATTTGAAATATAATTCTCAATGATTATACAAATATTCGCACAATTTGGCAAACTGAGGAGTCTGAATGCGGGTCTGAATGCACTGTAAATATAAAATATGGCCGAGAAGAAGAAGTGATTTACGATTACAATGTCTCTCCTCCATTCTGCATGCCACGGACGGTTTCGGGTCAGTTGATTCTGTCCTTTCTTTAAAATGGACCTATTTGTATTCAGCTGGAGATAGTATACGTGGTGAGGTCGCAATGCCTTACGAAGATCCCCCACAGGACAGTCTTGCACTCTGTGGAACTTGTTGGATGTTCACCGGTGTGTTTGTGTTAGTTCTAGGTCTGGTTTTGACAGCGCTCGGCTACGTTGAAAATTATGTTATAGCGTTCAGAATAGCAGGCCCATGTTTTATCGGTAAGTTTAGTGCATTTTCAAGTCAAGGTGTCGATTTTAAATAATGTAATCATACAATTTAAAAGTTAAACGTACAGCAAAAAGTTCCCTCAACGAAGTTCAAGTTGGAAAGTTGACCTTAAAATTCAGGTCATGGCAACGTATGCAAAATAAAAATAGTGTCGTTTGGCGAAGTTCTTCTCATCCATGAAAACACTTTATCCTAAATTGATATCAAAGAACATTGAATGGTATTAATTTATTTATTTAGTAACGTGTATGTTGCTTGCATTAATGGTCTGTTGCATTTTTGTATTTATGCGGTTTACTCTAATTTACACATAAACATTTGATTTATAAATGATGTTCAATGAGTGACCATGTAGTAGTCTTTAATAAATACAATATAACATGGTCACATTTATGTCAAGGTTAGGAGAATTAAAACGGTGAAATTCTTTAATGGAAAACTAAAATGCATATTGGTGAATGTATATAGCTAGAACATTCAGTTCAATGATATTTCAAACAATAATTGTTGGATCATTAATAAACGAGCCATGTTTTGGAATTTTAGAAGATGACTAAATAGTAACGTCACAATGACGACCAATCAGATTTGCTGCTCAAAAAATATTCCATGGCTTTATGTCACTGCTACTGCATGATACATGTGATAAATTTATTTACATTGATAATATTTAAACTATTTGAATCTTGTCTGGGGATATTAGACAATTAGTAGTTTAACATGATATCTGAAAATACAACATATATGTAATACAATACAACATTGTTCTAATAAAATAACAAATGGCCGTGACTTATTTTGTATTCGTCATATGTGCTAATACTTGTTAACCAGGTGGTCTTTATTCATTTTAACTATAGTGTTGTTTTTTTTAAATAAAGGCAACATACAATTGTAATGACATTTTATCTTGGCTCAACTCTCGTATCTGATCCGAACCAAACTGGTTATGTCACTAAGTTTAGGAATCTGTTGCATCTTATTTTATATTATCATCTGTAATTCTATCTCTGTCAGCCAACAGCTTCATTGTCTAGTAATTATTTATTGATTTGTTTCAGGTGGAAGCTGTTTAATGCTGACAGCTGCAACCGCTTGCTGTGTATCTGCACATATAAAAGATAAATCAAGACTTCGGCGAAATGCTCGTCCATCCAGACCAATCAGACAACATGCAACAAATTCTCGTCACCGTTCACGTAATCATTCGCGTTCACGACCTTCCTCTCATTCTCGTACCACTTCTTTCCAAAATCGTCAAGTGCGAATTAATAGCATTCCTCAAGTTGAGGTTGTTCCACCAACACCTCAACTTCACCCAAACCTCAATGCCTTAGTAGGGCTGACTTTTCTGCCACCAATGCAAAGTGGAAGACTTGGTACGCCGATCAGTGATGAAGAAATGCTCTCGGATTATGATAATGTGCCCAAGAAACGTAGGGGGTATGTTGGTGTTATTGGAAGCATATTCACACACTGCTTGCATGTGAAGATACCTCATCAGTGGCTAACCTTGTCCTGACCTGAGTCTTGTAGTAGCTGAGTGATGGCAATCATATTATAACAGCGTGTGCATGGTGAGTTGTTTTTCTAATAACAATAATAATTAATAGTAATAATGATTATAGTTTTGTTGTAGATTGTGCTTTCAATAAATTAACATAACCAAATCAAAATAAACACACTGGACCATTTATTATTTCATGTTTTCTTTTTATAAGGAAATTAGATGTATGAATAATTTAATATTAATTTATTAATTAATTTAACGAATTCATAGTTATGAAATTTCATGTATATGCATTATTTGATAGTTTAAGTAAAAGCATATTATCCTGACCTTCACTTTTTACTGACATATCACTAATCAACTGTAGCACTGTAGGTGTTATTGCAATTAAAGTTAAATTTATTTTTGAGAAGATACATACTATAAATTTTACTACAGTATGAATTACAAAAGTCTGTTGAGTTCACTGTATTGGAATTTTACACATGCTCACACATATTCAACAGATCTTGTAAAAACACAGTGGTAGAAATGATAAAATTATACTTGTGAGTTTTCTTGTAATGTAGTTTTCTTGTTCTTCTTTTCAATTTTATCAATAGGGATATATCGTACTACTTTGTATAAAGGTTAATATATTTCTTTTAATCCTTTGCATAGTCTCCCTAACACATGCACTCTGATTTAACTTACTTACCTGCACATGCTAATATATACAGTAAACATGCTTTGTCATAATTGTGGTACCATTTTTTCAACTTTACATGAATTGATCTTCTGACATACTAATTTCAACCTGACATCAATGCTGTGAAAAGGTGCATATAGTGGTAGAGTGTGATGTGTTTGTCTGTGTAATGTTTATATATTTTATTAGATTAGCGCATTGTGCTTCTTGTGTCAACAGGGATGAACATTGTAGTAAGATGAGTCATTTTAATAGCTGAACATACTTCATTGTAGTCGATGTGTCATCAGTGAAGCAGTAATATAATAACAGATGAAATACATAAATGTTCAGAACTACAATGTATCTATTTAGATTACTTTTCTTGTTTGATGTGTTGATGATATATTTATACAACACTGTGATGACCTCTGACATATACATGACTTTTATAATGCATGACATGTATATTTGACCTGTGATGCACCAGTTTAAATGACATTCGGATGATCTATGACATTTGGATGACCTGTGAGATTCGGATGATCTGTGACATTCGGATGATCTATGACATTTGGTTGACCTGACATTTGGTTGACCTATGACACCTGGATGATCTATGACATTTGGATGACCTGTCCCATTTGGACCATCTGTGATATTTGGATGACCTGTGACAATTGGATGTATGATATTTGGATGATCTATGATATTGTGATGACCTGTGACATTTGGACCAACTGTGACCTTTAGACGAACTGTGACATTTAGATGACCTGTGACATTTGGGTGGTCTGTGACATTTGAATGACCTATGACACCTGAATGATCTATGATATTTGGATGACCTGTGAAACCTGGATGATCTATGACATTTGGATGAGCGTCCCATTTGGATGACCTGTCCCATTTGGACGGTCTGTGACATTTGGATGACCTGTGACAATTGGATGAGCTGACATTTGGACGGTCTGTGACATTTAGACGAACTGTGACATTTAGATGATCTGTGACATTTAGATGACATGACAGTTGGATGACCTGTGACATTCGGATGGCCTGTGACATTCGGATGGCCTGTGACATTTGGGTGACTTGTACATTCACTTGACATTTCGATGACCTATGACTTTTGGTTGAACTATGACATTTGGATGACCTGTGAGAATTGGATGGCCTGTAACAATTTGATGATCTGTGACATTTGGGTGGCTTGTGACATTTGGACGACTTGTGACCATTTGACACTTGGATGACATTTGGATGACCTGTGACAATTGGATGATTTGTGACATTTGGAAGACCTATGGAACTTTGATGACATGTGACACGTGACCTGTGACATTTGGATGACATTTGGGTGACATTTGGATGACCTGTGAGATTTGGATGACCCGTGCTGTTTGACATGAAGATAAACCAAAATTCAATCAGTAATCATCTACTATTCGTGTTATGTGCCAGGCTCATTTTGCATTCCTAATACAATTGTCTGCATGAGGAATTTCATATGAGATACATAGAGGATGAGTGTAGTAATTTTCATATGTTCTGAGCTTACTATACAAGCTAATATCACATGGTCATGAATTGGAGATCTTATTTATTCCATGTATCTGTTTCACAGCTTTTTGTCATTATAAATCATTCGGAATCATAAACTCTTTGAGCACGTCAAAGTATTCTTAGTGCATTCTGTATTAATATGCATATTGAAATGCTGAATGAATTCTGGTGATAAAAACAACTTGTATGTGCAGTGGAATGCCCTGTATGTTGAGTATAAAATGAGCTGTGAAGTAGATTAGAAACATCAAAACATCAAAACATGGAGAGGTGTTGTGTATATGGATGTCAAAATGATTGACGTAAGACTTGTTGGTTGTAAAAAAATGTCAGAAGAACTAACTTGAAAGTGATGACACATACGATTTTGTTCAGACCAGTTTGAGGACAAACATTTCGAGTAAGTTTTAATGGTAAGTTTTATATCAATATTATATAATTTTATTTTATAAAAATTACCATATTGTTGCAGTTATTACAGTGGGTGTTTATCTGGAACAAAAATAACCTGCGCTTAGTCTTCCGAAAAATGTCTTTTCAATACGCAGATTGCGAAAAATCGATCATGTCAGTACGTTCAGTGTTCATTCAGTTTGGAAGTGGAGTTTGATTACGTTAAGATGTGTGTACAGTATAACTTGAATAAGAAAAAAGTTGAATCTGACGCTGTAAGTAAAAACAAAAATGACAGAAAAAATTCTGAAAAGATTCTGGCCTGGTTCAAATTCTAGATACTTGTATTAATCAGACAGTTATATCGAATTACAGATGGAGTCCACAGAAAAATGGTAGATGCTGGAGTTCAGAATTCATCTGTTATTTTAACATGGTATTATCCAAAACATCTACACAGTTTCCAAAAAATGCCACGGTTAAATTAGATCATCCCTTCGCAAATTTCAAAGGAAATACATCAATGGAAATAGAAGTTGATGCCTTGATTTATGATTTGTCCTTCATGAAATATAGTAGAGGCTATACCGAGGAAAGTGTGCAAGTAGATCCTATATGGCGGAAAGCGATCACGATAAAGTTGGATACGTCAACGATCTTGATACATATGTGTCAACTCATTACGTTGAAGGTGACAGTTTGTATTGGCACAGCCACAACCACAGCCACAGAGACTGAAGATGAGTATGATGAATTTAAGATGAATACAAGTATCAACCGTCAACGACAACTGACATTAATGGTATTCAAGGATTGTCTAGAAAATGTTTCCATAGATGCCAACAATGCGGAGAAGCTGCGATAGAGAAAAGACAATTCGTACAATTTGCAATAATTCCCACCATGAAGTTCGGCATTCCAAACCATTGCAGGACAAAATGGCTGCTAGCAATTTGCTTCTTTCTCCTGCCGTTCTTTTCATTGGAAAACCTACACTTGATTGGCGCAGTGTTTTTCATTCTTAAATTACAAAGTTATTATTTGTTTACCCGTTATTCTTGCAAAATTAATCACAGCGCATGAAAGACGAAATGTGAACCAAAAACATTGTGAAATTTGCAGTTGATGGTCGCTATTACCCCAATATATAACACCAGTTTGATGTATGGAATTTAGCAAAATCAGTAGTTAAAAAGCTTCAGGATTTTGCTACAAAGAAAAAATATTCAAATCTACTGCCATGGATCCAATCTGGATCATATGATGGAGTGCGGCATCGTTTAACGAAGATGTCATTTCCATAAATATGACCACCCTCCCAGTGATAACGATATGAAACCAGGTTGTTAAAAGTTGGTGAAACAGCAAAAGATGTGATGGTTGACAAAAAGATATTAGAAGCAGCAGAAAAGCTGACAGAATCAAGAACCTTTGGAAGTATTTCATTCTTTGTTGACAAAAAAATGCCGCAAGTGTCAACATTTTTCATACCAAGATAGTTTTTATTTCAATTTAACATATAAGTTTAATTTGGTGAAAATGAAGGGCAACTGATATAACATCGTCTTTCCCGAGAACAGAAAATATTGGGTGGACAGGCCTGTCAAGGAAGCCAAATTATATTCGCACATACCTGAGATGATGTGTGCAGTGCTTGAAAGATGACAAAGCGATGTGACTGCCGGGCCCGATCAAATCGCTGGAATTACTTTTGAACACATTTTGTAAGTGGGTCTCTCCTTGTATCATGGACTCTCACCAGTATAAAAATATATGGCTTCAAGTTTGTAAATGCAGGCAGCTCTAAAATTGGGATGATCAGTTATACACCCAATGTCTGCATGTAATAAAAAAATAAAAATTATGTTTCCAAATAGTCAGTTAAAAAACCTTTAAGAGTTAGAGTAACATATGGTTGACAAGTTTTTGTTTCACTGAAATTGTGCCTGAGCGTTGCGCGTTTGCCTAAATTTGTATAAATTGTGGTAGTATGTGCACAGTTCAAAACATATAACACTCAATTGTAATTCGTCTATGAAAAGTGACACTTTTTGAGGATGTGAAACATATGCAGGGTTCACATGACCGACGATGACAATTTGACTGCAATGGCTCACAATGGAGTTGCCAAAAGACATCATTTATGTACATATCACTCCTGGCCTTTTGTTTTTAGCGTGTGTGTTAAGTTAAAGCATGAAAGCTACAGACATTTTATTTCCTTGAAAGCCACTGTAATGATTTGAGGCTATGACGTTTAGTTTAGTTATTTGCATAATGATATTGATACATTGTATGGAACATCTCGTGAGTATTTAGACTCAGTTCCAGGCCTAGCAGTTGAGCAATAAACACCTTGGCTACAAGTGCTCCTCTCCAGTGTGTTATTCTCCTCCCGGATCTGGTGACCAATACTCACTTGGTTCACTCTACCTTGAGAAGTCTGTTCTCAGTTTACAGCCACATAAATGAAAAACTTGTAGAATACAAGTTAGACCACACTATATGAATATAATAACAATAAATAATAAAGATACCATATAATTTATCATCCAATCTTGGCATTGGTGTAAAGTTTGCATCACATGAACACCATTCCATGGAGTCTAGTCTTCCCAAATCCTCGTCTATCCCTGATTCATCGCTTATACTGTCGTCTTCAGCAGGATTTTCTTCTATTTTGCCGGCACTACATATTGATATGCCTTTATTATCCCACATAATGTAGCCATATCAAGTTCAACATCACTTCAACTATCACACTCGCTACTACTCACGTTATCCGTAGATTTGCCACTCTTTTATATGTGTGTGTCACGGTCACAAACGTATGTGTATACAATAGCGATATGGCTGAGACATCAGAGATTAAATGAACTAGATGAAAGGAGAATGTTTGCCATTTACTTCACAGCCCATTTTATACCTGATATATAGGGCATTCCGCAGCACATACAAGTTGTTTTTATCGCAGAGTTTATTGATAGATCTCAAATTCCATGTACAGAGTAACAAAAGCCACCCCTTTGCTTTCCTTTAATTAACAGTCTATGTAAATCATGATTATAGAACCCCTACAACTTATATATTTACTAATAGCTTGTGTCAGTAATTTGTTTTGCTTGAGGGATTATTAATTAAGTCATGAACAAGTTTTTTTAACTTTGAAATGTTTTGTGACATGGTGACTTTGGTGTTTAAAGATCTCTATGAATTTCTTCATTTGCCTTGCAAACATGCAGATCATGCAGTTGCCCTTGAACATGAGCTACTAAAACATATATAACTTATAGGAGGGTAGACCAACAATCATGTCACTTAAATAAAGGGGCACTCTCAAACTGACACAGAAGCTCATCAAATATAGTTTTTTAATTGAAGAAAAAAATCTATAGTAATATATATGTACATGTATATATTATATATAATGACACAGTTAATTCAGAATTACTATTTACATTGTCGCCAAACAACATAAATCCTACACTCCGAATCTGTGAAATATAAAATTAGTAAATGGAAATTATTTTGGGCTTATGTATGTGACAATTTGAGACCACACCTAATTTAGTTATAAGCACCTTAGCTATTTTATGATGATGATTTCAATGACTTTTACATTTTCTCCAACAACAGAAATAGAAGGCAAGCGATGGAGATGTTAACACGGTCACTAGAAACAGTGACGGAAACCTCTCCACTTGTAAACGAACAAGCAGTACCGACTGAGAGTCAAAGCAGTACGTCAATAACAATGCTACTTTCACCGGGGACTGAGGAGATCGGTGATACAAATGCTGAACCACCTCCATCGTATGAAGATGTGATGGCTCATCTCCCATGACATAAGGATGTTTGGCTCTTCTTTCCTCTCTCATTTGTATTTATTGTGTACATTTAAGGACTTGTTGAACCATTGCAGATGTATTTGTTGTGTACTGCTTATTTCAATTCTGCTGTTGATTTTCATCATAAAGATTGTTGAAAAAATCATAAAAACAAATAAAAGGATAAAATTAATTCTGTATTTAAGGCAGAAGATGTTTATTTTTTTTTTTAATATTGTTCACATTTAGAAAATGGCTCAAGACTCAATATAATGTGTTGTTAATTTTGTTACAATCATTGACTCCAGAGAGAGTTTTCTCAAGAGTTAATGTTATAATCAACCCAAGTTTGGAAGTTTATGCTTATAGTTATATGGATAGTATTTCTATGGAAGATTGCTGTCCTAAAGCCATTTTAATGTTTTGTTCCAACGCTGTTTTGTCTTAATGCCTTTTCGTCCCAACGCTGTTTTGCTGCAATGCTGTTTCGTCCAAGTGAAAGTTATTTTGCACTAAATACTGTTTTGTCCAAGTTCATTGATTTTCATTCATATATTTTGTTTGCCTATGCCATTTGTGGGCAGGGAACATGGGAATTCAGGACTGCTGTGGAATACCCTGCACAGAATATCATTGTTTCAATAAATTAATTAATTAAATTACTAAACGAAAATAACACACTAACAAATAGGGTATGAAATCTGGCATAGTTCAGTTTGTTGTAATCGTCAGTGTTTATCAGTCAACCTGTGACATTTTTCAACTTTTCTTGTTTGTGTATACGTGTTTTGCTTAATTATTTCGTGAGATAGGATATGATAGTGATCACTGCTCAAATTGACTGTAAATAGTGTTCACATTGAGTTGTTTGATTGGCTTATTTCTCAATAGAAAGATCAGGGAGAAAGGTATACTTTAGTTTGAAATATAAACAATCCATGTGTTAACAAAATAGTAATTTGGAATAAAACAGGTTAGGGTTGAAATTGCATTCGATCGAAACAGCATTGGGGAGAACAGTATTTATTCAAAAACATTCTGATTGATTTGAGCATCAACAGAACCCATGTTAATGATGTTTACAGTAAAGTCTTCCCAATTTGGCCAAAATGCTGAATAATATATTCAGTTTTATTCAAGTCTCATTAAAATCTTTTATGAGGTTGCACCATTTCTTATGATTGGCTAAACAAAAGTTAAGATAGTTAATAAATAGTAGGCAGGAATATGTCTGTATCAGTACTGTACACATCATTCACAACTGCTGCTGATTTATACTTCATACATATATATTGTGTTTGTAAATGAAAATGAGGCTTTGGCTTTCCATTCTCTTTTATTGTACTCTTACAACCTCAGCCATTATTCAGTGGTGTTAATATCATATTAATAATGTTTCATATTAAATTAGAAGATTTTTATTTCAATTTGTTCCGTATATTGTAGTTCATATATATCAATATATACAGTGTATGTTGAATTTCTCTCATATCAAATAGTGTTAAGATGCTATACCATCAAACAATTGTTTTCAATAAATTAATATCATTAAGAAAACTCATTTTTTTTAGCTGTGCGTTTGTGTGTGCCGCTATCCATTGATTGGTTCATATGCTGTGAAATGAATTTTTTTCATCCTTTGGTCAACTCCAGCAATGAATTACAGCAACACAATTCGAAAATCTTATAAGTATTTTCTGCAAATCTTGCATATTAATTAGTCTAATTTGCATATATCATTTATTGAAGATAATGAAAGAATCAGTAATCTTAACAATTATTATTCAGATACTTTGTTAATCAGTGATTGGAAAAAAACAAAAGAACAGTTGTACTGTATTTAGAGTTTTCTGCATATTGGTACCTAATAATGACTTTAATTTACATAATTAAAATTTTAAAGCATAGTCTACTTTTATCTTGACAGTATCTGATTCAAATGAATTTAGATTACAGAAATATAAAGTACATAATACATGATCTGATGTTAATTGTGACCATTTTAATTTGATATATTTTAATTCTAAATTCTTGTTTT